CCCCGTTTGAATACCTCCCAGATCTTCGTCAAAATCCAAATCACTCAGATGCAAGGGTCGAAATTTACGCTACAGAGTCGTCTTCCTTCGGTTTCGTTCACGGTTCTTCTCCAAATCTTGTTCTTGTTGTCTCGGACCCCATCTCCTCGATAACTGCATGTCAATGATTCTGGGCACTCTCGGATCGTTTTCTTGCTTTTCCCGTTCTTTCTTTTCACGCTTTCGTTTCTCTTTTTCCTCTTTCTCCAACGCTTTTCGACGCTGTTTCTTCCGCTGCTCCTTCTCCTTACGTTTTTGTTCCTTGGCAGCCTCCTTCGCCAAAAGCATCACCATCAATTCCCCCGCTGAATCCTTCTCCTTGGGGGTTTCATATCTCGCGACGTATCGGTCAGCCGATGACGATCTGCGCGGCGGTTCCCAACGATTTCGCCGAGGAGAAGTAGACCGCGCTCGAGATGTGTAATGTCTGGTAGTTTCGACAGGTCTCCCTTCCACTTCTTGGTCTCGACGACGGTTGGCTTTCTCCTTTTCCTCCTTCCAGAACAATCCACAATCACGTGTGTAATGTCCATAGTATTTACAAGAGTAGCACTGTGGGGCATTACGACGTCCGCCTCACGTTCCTCCACTGCCCTCTTCGCTCGGAGGTTGTTGGCTTGATGACGCCATGATGGCAGACTTTCCAATCACAGGGGAGAGTAAGGTGCGAGAATCAAACTTCCTCGGATATCAGACTTCCTCGAACATTTGAGGTCTTGACCACCAAAACGGAGCAGCAACCCTTCAGCGGTTATTAAGTGCTTGCGCAAGGGCAAAAGGGTGCACACCACACAAAGCGAGATGAGCACAGTCTCTCAAAGTAGCAACAACAGAAACCCACAGTACGGGATGTCAGATAGAAAAACTTCCCATCATGTCCGCCTCATCCCAACGCCCCACCTTCTGACCGTCAACCCCAAGAACCACCGATCTAACCGAAAAAAACTTGGCGGCGGTCATCCTCAGCTAACATAGGTTAGCTGGGAATGACTGCCTCGAACAGGTCTGTTGAAAGAGAGGAAAAGAGTATCAAGCTATTCTAATATATACTACCACAGCATCTAACAAATATCAAAATGAAGGTTCAAGACAAACAGGACCAGCCCTTCTAGGAAAATTGACGTACAAGCTGTGTAACCGGGTGAACGCGCCGAACGCGCGTTCACGTTTAAACGCGCCCGTTCATACCCCCGGGGGCTGCGTTCATTCGCGTTCAAACGCGCTGCGCGCCACGTGGCGCAAAAAAACTGAACGCGACCCCGGGGGGGGCACGCGCACGTTACGGACTACGGGGTGGTGGGTCTTATTCTACGAACCCCAAAACTGCAAAAAAAAAAAAAAAAAAGAGGCCTACCCCCCCTACCGCATCTCCCCCCTATACGTGAAAATTCCTTATTTTTTTTTTTTTTGAGTGGGTGGGGTAATCCCCCTAACGTGGCTCAGACAGCCCATGCAGGCTATCTGAAGGGTCCGTGCAGCCATGTAGCGCAGACCCCCCCACCAAAATCGAGGCAGGCAGTGAATATGGAACAGAGCACGAGCTGGCCGAATATTTAGCAGAGATTTGAATTCAGGTATGTGCTTCAGCAGTTATGGGTTGCTCACGTAGGTAGGGCCTGTTGGTCTCTGCAAGTGACTCTTAGGGCTTGACTGCACTACTCACCAAATGTGCAAAACTATAATGAATCTCCTACAGAATATGGAATAATACGTCGCCAGATGTTTTGTCTTTTGTGCAAATGGTGAGTAGAGGCCCTTAGGGCCACTGCACGTATTCCTAAGAAGAGAAAAACGAGAGATTTTTCGTTTTTTTTTTTTTTTYTTTTCTTTTTTMTCATTTTTTATTTTTCTTGTTTTTCTTTTTTTTCTCATTTTTCATTTCTTAGGAATACGTGCAGTGCCCCTAAGGGCCTCTACTCACCACATGCACAAAAGACAAAACATCTGGCGACGTATTATTCCATATTCTGAAGGAGATTCATT